CGTCTCCAACTCAACACTGAAACTTGAGGAAATTTATCTCTAATAAGAGCTCAAATACTGAGGAGAAATCCTGCTCAGTGTATATAGCTTGAAAGTTGGTGTGTGAAAAAAGAGGCCTGATGAAACAAAGGGCCTGATGGCAATGCAGGTTGATCAGAAGCAAAAATATTTATATCTAAATATTTTTTTTATACTAGAAGATGTATGTATTTTGAGGCAACTCTCAGAATGTAGAAGCAAAAAGGTAACAGCATTTTTTTTTTTTTTTCCTGCCTGGAGTTCTTCCGCCCACAGATTGGTAGTGCAGGTTTCTGGTTAGGAGCTATACTATAAATTAACATCATGTAAGTCATTGCTTATGTGCACACACACATATATAATATTATATTGCATCTGAGATGTTGGAATCTTTTCCTTGTTTTCTTGTTGGGTTAGTCATTGGCTACCGTTTTCTTAAAGCCAGTGAGCAATATTTAAGACATGTTGCTTCAACACTCTAATTTCATAGTTATGCCCTGCATATCAAAATAAAAAGACACTCAGAAACTGTTTTTCCTACAATTATTAACGTTTTCAGAGCTAGTTTGTGCTGTTAAGTGTGAAAGTATATTGCTGCATTCATGTAGTTGGAGACACACCTATGAAGCTCATTTTAATCACTGTTGGCAAGACAGTTGGAATGGGACTTAAGATGAGGCACATAATTTTTTCCAATCCTTCAATGAAAACCTGAAGGATTTGATGGGTGTATGATTGAGCAGCTGAACCAGGAGGCTGGTTTGTTGTTTGTTTGTTTTGTTTTGTTTTTCCCCCCCCTTAATTTTTGTTTTCCTCCTTCTATAAATCTCTAGCTGCATGTTTGAGTTACTTATGTTTACAGAGTTGATGTTACCTCCGTTTAAGGTAGGGATATTACCTCTTATTTAAATGGAAGAAGTCCCATTAAAATGCACTCAACTTCAAGAGAGAGTTTACAATTGTAAATCAAATATTAAATCCTGATCCCCCAGGGCTTAACTGTACCCATGGCAAATTGAAACCCTGAGCATGTACAGCAAAGTGGAAGAGCAGGGCAGGGCAGGGCTGTGGCACTTGTAAAGCGTTAGTAACACAAGTCAGGACAACAATTATCAGGAAGTCCATTTCAAGGCTTTGGTATTTTAGGCTCCTGAAGGGCGGTCCCTGTTAGGAAAAGTTATTGTTAGGAACACACAACTCCGCTGCAGTCAGTTACCTGCATTACTAGCACAAACAGGTTTTCACTGCTGTTATGAAAACAGGGCTTAAAATGGTCTCAGCTGCCTTTGCTATAATAATGTTGATGATGGAAATGTTTTTCTCTTGTCTAAATTTTCATTTTAGGCCACTCAGCAATATTTCCTGCAGAAATGGTTACCAATGAACTTCTTCTGAAGATGGAACTTTTTCCTGTTAAATAAAGACCTTTGAGCTTCTACAAGAAATATTTTGATGACCAGCTGATGCTTGGCATGGTGAGGGATGTAGGCAGATAGTTGTTGGATATGTGCAGGAATTACAAATTACTTGATTAACCTGCAGCATTTTTCTACTTAAAAAGCTGTAAAATACAAGACAGAATCACAGCTCAGAAGTTTTACAACCTTTAGGAATGCGCCAGTATCCCACTCAGTGCATCATCCCTGAAGATATTACGATGTAGTGAACAGATGACTAAGGAAGGACAGTAAAACACAAGCAAAATGAAGATCTTCAAAGGAAGGCATGCACCAGCTGACTGCTTCTGGTTTTGAGTTGTTAAATGTTTTTAGTAGCACTGAAGATCAAACCCCAAATTGTTCATTTATGGCATGGTCCATTCTAACCAAAACTCTAGAAAGTGAAAATAGTACAACCTACTTATAAACTCCCATTAGCAAGATTTTTTTTTGTTGTTGTTTTTAATAAATAAAGTCCCATAGAAACAAAGTATTTACAATTAGATCAAAATTCTGAATATAATTCACCAGAGAAAATGCTATTTTTTGAGAAAATGTTTTCATATCCTCATAACAGTCATTTGTTCTAAATTAGTACATAGCAGTTGTCCATTAAATGAACATTTTTCCCTTAAGACCTATCCTTGCAGAAAAGTATTTTAGGCAAAACTTCCTAACCATGATGTAACTGTTTAGAATCAGAACATTTCTGTGATTATTATTTCACATAAAAATTAACATTTTCCATGGCTTGAAGAAAACATGATGAATAACTATCCAAATGTAAGAGAGGAGAGAATGTAGGGAGAACAATATATTTTATTAGAGAAAAGTTGAGGCTTTGGGGCATCCAGTCCTTTCAGCCTAATAAAGGGTAGGTAATACCTGTTCCTGCAGAACTGTCATCTCCTGAGAACGTTGTGACCACCATTATGCTACCACTCTTGAAACAGATGGATTATATATGTCTACCTTGGGCTAACTGGCTCAAACAGTGTCATTGATAAATTGCTACTTTCAAAAATATTTGCAATAAAGTTGAATTGAGCTCTTTGAGTTAATGTGCTTCTTGGTTACATGGACTTTTTTTCCTGTAACAAAGTAATGAACTTAACTTCATTATCAGTGCATCTCTTCCACTGTCCTTTTCAAACAATTTTCAAATTACTTACATAAGAACATGCCCTAGTATTCTTCTTTATTTAAAACTCATTCTGAACTCTCATTTCTAGTGAAGCCAATGTGAAATTGGATTGTATAAGAAATGCAGGCTCAGATTAATGGTTTTTGCTGTTGTTATAGGAATCCAGTGCTGGAGCTGTGGTCCATCTCAGTGCCAGCTAATCTTTGCTATATCCTCCTACAGAAGGGGACGAACTCTGCAATTAAATAGAGGTTCTCCCACTAAGTAATAGATGGCAAAACTTCAAATGGCCAGTCTCCAGTGGAAAACAACTTAAAAGCAGGAGAGAGAATATTTTCATTTGAATTGTAACAACCACGAGCCAGAGTGCCTGTAATTCCTGTCAGAATCTGATCTCAGCTAGCACGATGTGCCTGTCTCAAAACATGCCGGAAAGACACAGTCTGGAGCATTAAGGTGCAATATTCCATTTGCTTTAGGGCATTCATTTCTAAGTTACCTGAAATGATCTCATTGTGAATGTAGTGAGGATCAAAGCACTTCACTTCAGTCTCCTACTGACTTCATCTCAGTGAAATTTCACTTGTGGGTTTCAAACCTGGAGGCTGAATGATTCAATTCTCCGTACTTCCTGGTGGGCATAATGCTGACTACTGACCATAGGCCCAGAGGTTATCTGACATAAGTAGTAGGAAACATTTTTCAGCTGTACAAGGTATGAGCTTAAGGATTTATTTTCTTATTTGCCTCTGTCAGCCTCTTTATTGAATAATTTGCACCAGTTTAGATTTTTCAAGGTCTACATTGGGAGTAAGACCAATTTCTACTCCCTGCAAATCCAGTCTGCTCATATACACACTTCCATTACCTCTTGGTGCACTTTTGTGTCACCACCGCACCTGTCTCACTAAGTTTAAGGCACACTTTTTACTACATAAATAAAGTGGTGGGCATGGTGGGGAGACTAAGGCTTGAGTTGAGGTTAACTCTTTACTTCTCTCTCTCTCTCTATATATATATAACTAGTGGCTTTTTTTCCCCCCCAACATTCCCTCTTGGGGTCCACCATCATGGATCATACCTACTTGACTTTGTCAGGGGTCACATTCTCAGACCATAAATATGGCCAGGCTAAATGTGAGTCAAAGAGAACCTCACATCAGGACTGAGAATACCAAAACAAAATAGTGTAAAAAAAATTACCTTCTGTTACATTCATTCACTCTCTCATGCTTTGCTCCAAGTGGAATCATAAGTGACATTGTAGGGCAAGATATCTAAGAAAATTTATATAACAATATAACAATTTGCACCAGAGTAGGTTTAGATTGGAAATTAGGAAAAAATTATTCCCTGCAGGGGTTGTTAAAACCTGGTCCAAGCTGCCCAGGGCAGTGGTGAAGTCCCCATCCCTTGAGGGGTTTCAAAGCCATGTAGATGTGGTGCTGAGGGACTTGGGTGAGTGGGAGCGTGGCAGTGTTGGGTTAATGGTTGGACTTGATGATCCTGAAGATCTCTTCCAATCAAAATGATTCTGTTTCTATTTAACAATCTTAACAGCAGCAAACATCTTGAAGCATTCTTGTTCCCAGTGATAAACAATAATAACTCAAGTCAAACTGACATCATAGGGTTTCCATTACAGGTTTATGCTTTGAAGACTGAATTCAAATCTTGCTAGGAGGAGTCACACTATTCCCATTTGCCATAACATTTTTGATTGAATGTGTTCTTCAGTGATAGTTCATCAAATAACCTGGGAAGGTCCCAGGCCAAGTGGTCTGTATAAACTTATTCCAACTACAGACTCAATGGAGTGACTCAAAGGTGCATCAGCACCTACTGCTGTGGCATGTACCTTGGAGGCCATGGTGGGGGCAGCTGCCTCCACATGGGCGCCTGCTCTGTCCACCTCCAACTTGCACGAGAGGAGTAACCGAAAAGATTTTGCCTCCTAAGAGTGAGGATCAGCACATTTATTCCTTCCTGAACTGATTCTTGAAATGGCTTCTAGTTTTTGGGTTAGCCCGCAAATGATGATAATTCTTTCTTACACTAAGACCTCTTTACAGAGCTCTGCCGGTGTAAACTTCCATCACTACAGGCACAAATACCAGACCTAACATTTCTACTTTTGCCTTTTAAGCCCTCATAGGAAGTTACACTAATCTGTGATTCAGTTTTATTGTTCTCTGGCTGCTGCCTTGGGAGCACAAAATCAAACATAATACTTAAAACATTTCCCCAGGGATGTTTAAGGAGAAAGACTTTTATTTTTAAGTTGAAAATTTAACTGCATGCTTAACCAACTTCAGTGAAGCATCAATCATACTGGACAAGCGATTTTAAGGAATAAGATCGTTTAAAAAAATTAATTCTGGAAATACTGCCAACATTTCATGATATAGATATTTTTAATATTAAAAGTAAATTGTAAATGTGTCTTTATAAACAATATGCATAAAATAGATCTGCTATACTAAGCTCTCTCTCTTTAAATGCTGTTTCACAGTAATTTCTTCTTTCTTAGGTATGCAAAGTTTTCCCTCAAAGAAATAGTGCAATCTGAAGAACATACATTATGTCAGATTAAAACTGCTATAGTCATTAATATAAGTCTTTATAGATTTCTTGTAGGAGTGGATGAAGACTCATATCTGTCTCCGTTTTCTTTATTATTTGCAAGAGCTGCACGTGTTCCGTTACAATCTGTCTGAGGTCCGTCATTTTCTGAAGCAACTTTGCAAACAGCTGTGACGATTCTGGGTGATTCAGCTTGAGCTGGAGCTCCAAAGCTTGCAACAGGTTGTCTTGTATATCTTCAATGGGCTTCACATTTAACAAACCTGGGCGATCTAGGAAAAAGAAATATGGGGAGTTGTGAGTTTCTGAAGAATAAAGAAACATTGATCTCACTTATTAATTTCTTAAATATATCCCAGCACACTAAGTATTTACATATGGCACTTCCTGAAAACTGTTTGCCAATTTCTTAATGGATTTATTGGTAAGATTTTAGTAGAATTCGCTCAAAAGTTTTAAAACAGTTCAAGCATTGGTGTAAAGCAGATATAGTGACAGGTTTATACGATATGACAATGTATTTTCCACAGCAAACTGGGAGCGTTGATGGAAAGGAAGAGTGAAATATAGTTCAGGGATAAACAGTCCATAGCAGGCAATTCACTTGTGGAAAATCAGCATAGGCTCAGATGTAGTTGCTAGTATTAAAAATGTTTCCTGCTAGATTGGATGCTAACCTATCAAAGTAAAAAGAAAACGGTATAAATTCAGCTTCTGTGGTGATACTAACCTGAGAGATTGAAAAGTAACAGGTTCAGTTCTTCTTCACACCCAAGTTCCAGCTGCTATTAAGAAGCCTCACGATAGCTTTTAGCACCAGCTCATCAGCCACAGATGCTTATGGCAGTGGGGGACTGATAGATGTGGCTTGTACAGAAAATGCCTTTTCTGGGCTCACGCCAACAAAGAGTTCTCCTCCACACAGAGGAATCTGGGATGGATGCTTACAACCAAAGGCAGCTACTTGCACTGCCACAGCTGCTGGAGTCCAGGATTATCTTTGGTGTATCTTATTCTTCAGCAAGAGGCAAACTCTTTTCAAACCACTATTATCTTTCACAATAAGAGCTCTTCTGTTATTTCTGTTTGTCCCCAAATACCTTCTTGCATGGTTGCAATTACTATTTCACATCATTTGCAACATTTGTTTTCTAACTTGTAGTAATAAAATATTTGATTCCACAGCCATGAAAGTTAATATGATTGCTGAACTTTATTAAATCTTCACCCATGACAACGACCACCAGTAATTTGCTACTGCTGAAGTACTTTATAGTGGGTAACACATCCAGATTATCAGACTACGCCATGAAAAAAGAGTCAATAATTTCAGTAACTATGTAGTTATGAAATTAATTTCACAGGTTGATCGATAAAAAGCAGTGTCTATACCTAGCCTTAAATTACTTCCCTAAGGCACCATTTCCATTTCAGAAAGGACGAGAGGTTGATCCATATTAAAAATTTAAAGAATAGAATGTTATTTCCTGTGATCTTAGTAACCTCTATGTGCACCCAGTTCTCCTAACTCAGCTTGGCTTGTGTTGTATACCAGAAAAAAAGGCTGAGAGAAGACAAAGCTCTTTATAAATACATTGGAGTTTGCTTCATGGAGAAAAATACTGCAGTGTAAACTAAAAGGCGAAGCTGGCATGAAACCAAATGAGTACACACAAGCTGTGAATACATGTAGGTCACTGATTAGGAAAGGAGAGTTAACTCTCCATGAGGTGAGGTTTGGGGGAAGTTTTTCAGAAATAAGAAATTGAAGGCAAGTTTGAATATGGAGCTATAGATATTTCCTTGACCGTGGGTTTATGTATTATTATTATGCTTTCAGTTATTATTATTATTATTATCATGTATTTTTATTATGCTTTCAGTTGTAGGAGATGGGACTCGGAAACCCATCTGTC